AGCTTTAACTTAGGCTGGCCAAGTACAGGGACACTAGATCTATACATTGCACAACAAGTACACCAGTTAGTGTTCAACCCTACGTTAGGGCACCCAGACCAGGCACCTTATATTGATGTGTGGCTTGGCTTGTTGCAAAGACCTCCCCCATGGATCCAAAAGTGTTACAAAGAGCAGTGCAGACTTCTAGTGTCACGCACCCTGCCAGTTCCAAAGGTGGAAAAACCCATCCCAGTTCTACCAAGTAGTCCAGAAGAATTGCCACATCCACCACCATACATCCCGCCACATGGATTGAGAGGGACCCCAGGGACATCGTCATCAGCAGTAGGATCTATGTGGCGCCTGGACATGCTGTCCCCAATGCTAAAAGGCTTCCACCTTGGGGAAAGGAAAGGTCAGGGACGATCACCAGCCCAAATAGAAGTTCAGGATCAAGGAGCCCAGGAAGGACCCTCGCTCCAAGCAACAGAGGGGAGCTCGGGGACAGAGGAGAAGGAAGAGCCAAGTGAGGAAAGGGAGGAAGAGGAGCCAGTAGCTGAAAGGACCAGGGCAAGGACCGAGCTAGTCTCTTTGAATGCTCCCCTCAGACAAGTGGACCAGTTGGTTGTTAACAAAGATGATCCCACAGATACAGCAACTGCCCCTCTATTTCAACATGTGCCCTTCACAACTTCGGACCTTCTTAACTGGAAATTTCACTATGGGCCGTTTAGCGAAAAGCCCACCGAAGTTGCAGACTTAATTAAAACCATTGTAGACACCCACAACCCCACTTGGATGGATATGCAACAACTTATGGGAACATTGTTCAATCCAGAGGAAAGGGAAAAGATTAGAATAGCAGTGGCAAAAATTGTGAAGCCTGATTTGCCTACACTCTACACCATTGAAGACTATGTCGAGGAGAAGTTCCCTTCTAAAGACCCTAAATGGAATCCATATCGTGACCTCAAAGAGTTGCAGGCTTATCAGCAATTAGCAGTGCAAGCAGTCCGTGCAGCAGGGAAGCCAGCCGTTAATATGTCTAAACCATCTTTGGTGGTGCAGGAAGCCACAGAAAGTCCAGAAGCATTTTATGCTCGACTGCTTGAAGCCTATCAAATGTACACCCCTATTGACCCAACAGAACCTGACAACGCTAGGATGCTTGCCATGGCTTTTATTTCACAAAGCGCCCCTGATATCCGAAGAAAGTTGCAAAGACTGGAAGGAGCCTTAGGAAAGCCCATGAGTGAGCTGATGGAAGTAGCCAGGAAGACTTTTGTGAATAGGGAAAAAGAGGAGGAGAAGAAGAAGGATCAGAAGATGCAAAGGAAGGCTGAGCTGCTTGCAGTAGCTATGATGGGGGTGCCAAGGGGAGGTGGAAGAAGCAGAGGAAGGGGAATGGTGTTAGGACGGAACCAGTGTGCCATATGTAAGAAGGAAGGACACTGGAAGGGTGAATGTCCAGAAAGAGAGAGAGAGGAGGAACAAGAAGAGGGAAGAGGAAGATTTGCAAGAGTTGCCAGAGGCTTCAGAGGTAATCCAAGAAGAGGCCAGGGAGGGAGAGGAAGAAGAGAAGGATTTTCAAGGACCCCCCTCATTGGACTGGCCGAAACACCAATAGAAGAAAACACCAATAGAAGGAGGAGCCTCTCCCCTTCTGGTGACACCCCGGATGCTGCACCCCTGCGAACGGGAGAGGTGAAGCAACCCCCTGCAGGTGTTACCCCGGAAGCTAACACCCATCGCACGGGCAACCAAAGGTCCCTACCTTGGAAACTGCGCTCACATCATTAATCTCAAAAGTTTTAATTGGTTATGGATCCCACCCAGAGGATGAGGGAAACTGCCTGTATTAGGAAGGGGCTTATCCCAACAATTTGGGTGGTGGTAATGTTGTTGTTAATCATTGTTATAATTAACTCCCTGTTTCTATATAGAGGGGGCACAGAGAGGGGGGTTGAGGGTGTGTCTGAGGATTGGCTAGTTGAACCCGATGATCTGGACTTTAGTCAGGATGTCACCCAATCCCCAACCTTTACATCTCCAGAACCCATGACAACCCCTATAGGACAGGGCCTTTTCACAAGGAAAGGGGATCCGCCGGGAGTGAGTGGTGATGAATCTCTTTTGGGAGACCCACGCCCTTACCCTTCAGACCACGTCCCTCCTTGTGATGGATGCTTTGTGGACCTTCCAACAGGAAAACACTTTGTTTATTCCATCACACAGCCTCCTAATTGTTCAGTCTTCACCCACCTACCCTGTGAAAATGAGGGGCACCGATATTGGCGTTGTGTTCTTAATTCCACTGTCAGGTGCCATAGCTTACGTGTTCCATGGATACCTCCTGTACAAATCCACATGCCCCGCCATGTATCCCACCGCTCAGTAAGGGATGATTCCCAGGTAAGACCACTGAAAGAGCCATGTACACAATGTCTCAAACTAGATGGGAGGGTGCAAAGGAGGATTGGGAGGCCCGAAACTTGCCAGTTTGATATGCCACCCTGTATTCATGGTCAACGCCGGGTAAGAACTTATAACAGATGCAAGGGCACAGAGGGGGTTCTTTGCTACCGAGAGCCTCCATCTCTCCCTATCCATCGCATCCAAAGGGCCCCAGAGGAATCAGATAACTGTCATCAATGCATAACAAAGGCAACTCAAGGTGCAACCACCATAACTACCTTAGTCTATCACACTCAAATGCCAGCAGGATGTAAACCCACAGGCAAAACTTGTCTGAATAATGGCACAATGTATACCTTGTGCACCTTGGAAGAAAAAGATGTTTGTTATCGCCCCCAGACCCCAGAAAAGTTGAATATCACTTTATATACAGGATTTGGACAATGGCGGAATGGAAGGGTGATTGGCCTATATGCTTATGTTAATCACACCACCGTCCTTAAACAAGGACAGGAAAAGGTGTTTCTGGAATTTGATGCCTGCAATGCCATAGATAAGCCAGGCAAGTATGGGAAGGTGGGATGTGGATCTGAGGCCTGGAAACAATCCTATAAGAGTAATCATAAGTATGTGTGCACTACGGACACATCCTGGATCACTGCAGCCCATAATTGGCTGCCATGTGCAGGATCAGTCAAGTGCTCAGGATGGGAATGTGTGTGTGTTTACACAGGAGGTGGATATAAGGGTTGTTCAGGACTGGGTGATCTTATACGGGTGCTGAACAGTAATTGGGTAAAACTGGAAGTTAAAAGAACTCACCCATCTTTAAAGGTATATGGATTTGGGATTGAAGGGACTGGTGAAGACCCTAAGACCTACCTCACCGTCCAAGTAGAAAGAATCTATGATGGGCAAATTAGGTCTTTAGGTTGGTCTGTATATGATAATCTGAAGAAGTTACAAGATGACCCCCTCCCCATAAGCACAACAGCTACTAATTTGTTCATTGAGATGGCTGAGGAGGTGGCCAAAACACTCTCTGTAAAGAATTGTTTTGTCTGTGGTGGTACCAACATGGGGGAGCAATGGCCATGGGAGGCATTAGAGGCCACCCCTGAAATTTATAACAACATGTTTAATGCTGGAAATGTGACAGCTCGAACCCGATTTTCAGGAGCTGTGTGGACTCTGGCTACTAATCTAGTTGGTAGGAACTGTTTCTTTAGAAACTATACTGTGCCAGTAGGACATCTAATCTGTTTGGGATATTGGGATCAGGACTATGTAAATTGGGTCTCTCCTGGTCAAAGTCCACAGCCTGCTAAGTTTGAGGGAACCCTGCTCCCCTACCTTAACAGCACTCAAAAGGAATGGATTGCCCCAGAAAATATGTATTGGATTTGTGGTAATTTGGCCTATGAGAAGCTACCCATAAACTGGGCAGGAACATGTATTTTAGGTTGGATTAAGCCATCCTTCTTCCTCCTACCTATCAGGGCAAGACAGCTGTTAGGTGTACCCGTATATGACCCCATAGGGATAATGAGGCGGAGGAGAGATGTGGATACTGCCTTCTCCAACTTCCCTTGTAAGGAGCTTGCTGAATATGAGAAGACCAATGTGTGGAATTCTGAAAGAATTGTGTGCTCCTATGGGCAGGCTACCTGGGCTGAGGATGGTTCATATGGTTACAGGACACCTATCTACATGTTAAATAGGATTATCCGGCTCCAAGCTGTCTTGGACCTGGCAGGCCAACGTCTCGACAAAGCTCTCAATATATTGTCTGATACCACAGATAAGATACGAAGAGCAGTGTATCAGAATAGGTTGGCCCTAGATTACATCTTGGCTAAGGAAGGAGGTGTTTGTGGCAAGTTCAATCTTTCCAACTGTTGCTTGCAGATTGATGAGACAGGAAAGGTCATTAAGCAGTTAACCACTGAAATGAGACAACTTACTCACAATGCTGATCAGGAATGGAAAGGTTTTGACTTTACCCAGGTATTTACATCCTGGTTTCCTAAATTACCTGGTTTACAAGCCATTGTAGCACTTGTGGGAATTATTGCTCTTGGTTGTTTAATTCTACCTTGTATTTTACCTCTTGCTACCCGCACCATTTCCAAGACCCTCTCTATGCTAGTTGAAAAAAGATCTGTAACCCAGGCCATGGCTCTTCTGGAGGAAGGAGAATATACTACCTTATATTATCCTCCCAGATATGAAACTCCTCAATAATCTTGGGATATTCGTGAAGTTTCAAGGGGAGGAAATGAGGTGGGCAGTAAGATCTATATATATATTTTAATAAGAATGCTTGTTGTTTGGCTGTGCAATGTAACCAAAAAATCATATAACCTGTGTGTCATAATTATAGAGATGTGTTAATGCTATGTAGAAACCATTTTACAAGAAGTGTCAGTGTCAACTAAAAGTCACAGATGTTGTAAGATAACACCCGGGACGAGAGGTGTGGTAAGGCAACCGTTTGGGCAAACTTCTCCTTTTTGCTTATGTAACTGCAAGATATAAACTTCTCTGTTTAAGTGTGTTAAAGGTAGATAAGGACCACCCTGTGGCTAAGGCGTGGGTGGTGAATACTATAAGAATTAACCCCTGAGAATAGCTCAGGGCTCAGAATTTGTCATGCTAATACTCTGAGCCATCGTGCACGAATAAAAACCTGTTTTCTCCAGCCCTTCGTGGTCTTGTCTTCTGATGTAAGTATTAGGGTTTCCACTACAACTAGATAAATGGTCCTGAGTTGAGGATTACCTGTGTTTGGATGTTCATACATTTATATTGCCTCTCTAATTATTTTGGAAAGAATCTCTTATGAACTGCTAGGATGCACATTGTCTGTAGATGTCTTTTATGATTTAATTCTTGTCTTCAGGGAATGCAAACTGTCCTGTGTTTTTATAGCCACAATAAATGCACAATCTTAGATAGCACGATTTGCGTCAACATGACAGAAATGATTAATTTTAACTGATTTATCTTTTGGATTTCTGTCACTATGTAAACTGGCAGCCTATGAGAAGTAGTATCTTTACAGCTTAGAGAGGGCTGTAAAGCACTAGGAAGCGGTATATAAGTCTAAGTGCTATTGCTATTAATCTTGTAACTAATAATGGCTGATGACAATTACTATTTTTCCTACAAACTATTATTATCTACATTTCTTAGAATATTATGGAATTATCATTATGGAGGTAATTTTATCACTGCAAGATATTGTTGCATTAACTGAGTTCCAAGGTAACCAGCATTTCCCAAGAAACCTATCAATGGTTCCATTATTTTTGAAATAACCACGTAGACAAATTGCTCAAATGACATCTTATGTAGATGGTTTTGAGGAGAGGTGGGGTGATTGTCTTTCCTGGATAACTGTAAAAGGAATGTTAAGCACATTTGACTCATTCTTTTTTAGAGGGCCATTGGACATAATTTACATATCAGCTATGTTCACACCACACATTTAACCAGGTTAATTATAAAGGTTGCATTAACACATTTTGGTTAATTATAAACTTTGTTCATTTGTGGTGGGTGTGTTGTCATATTATTTGAACTCTCAGTTTCATCAGCTTCTGATTTAGTGTTGTGTGAATTCAGTTATTCTGAAAGATATAAAGAGTATGTGTTAAAAAGTTTAAAAATGTGAAAATGAGCCCAGGGGATAAAGAGAAGGAAGGAAGGAAGGAAGGAAGGAAGGAAGGAAGGAAGGAAGGAAGGAAGGAAGGAAGGAAGGAAGGAAGGAAGGAAGGAAGGAAGGAAGGAAGGAAGGAAGGGGAGAGAGAGAGAGAGAGAGAGAGAGAGAGAAAGAAAAGAAAAGAAATTTCCTGACAGTTAAAACAATTAACCAGTGGAACAACCTGCCTCCAGAAGCTGTGAATGTTCCAACACTGGAAGTTTTTAAGAAGAGACTGGACAGCCATTTGTCTGAAATGGTATAGGGTTTCCTGCCTAAGCAGGGGGTTGGACTTGATGACCTCCAAGGTCCCTTCCATCTCTATTATTATTGTTGTTGTTATTAGTAGTAGTTGTAGTAGTAGTAGTAGTAGTAGTAGTAGTAGTAGTAGTATGGAAGGAAGGAAGGAAGGAAGGAAGGAAGGAAGGAAGGAAGGAAGGAAGGAAGGAAGGAAGGAAGGAAGGAGAGGAGCATCTGCCTCTAGAGGAATTAATATGGGGTGAATTTAAAAGGTACTTATTCCTAATCTACTGTGTCTTGGAAAGGTGAGCAGAATAGTGGAATGCTATTGGTGCAACTTTTCTCCAATATAAGCCAATTTCCCCTTTCCCGTTATATACCCACCTGACTGAGCCCTCGTCCTTGTTCATAACTTTCCAGCACATATGATGGTTTAGGTAAGAGTAGAAAATAGTTGGTTGCACAAGCTGGTATAACTATGGGATAGAATCCATAAAGATATATACCTTTTATGAAAAGGAAATGTCATGCTACTATTTGTTGAACATCAGAAAAAACAATAGAATAAAAATTGTTCAAATTTTCATATTCATTACTAATTTGTAAATATATTTTTACACAGGATTTAACATTGTCTATGTCTGTGGAGGCAGTGCTGCTTATCTGTGATTTTACATCAGTTCAATTTTCTTCTCCATGGTTAGAAACTATTACAATTAATATTTCAACTAGAGCAATTATTATCTGATTCATATTTGACCAAAAAAACTACGCATACACAGTATTTACATTTATTATGGACATAATGCTAAATATATTGAGACAGGGCTAGGCAAAATCCTAAAATTATATTTCTTGCAATATGTTATCATTAGCTGTACCAAAAGGTGCTTATTTTTATTTTATTATCTCTATAAGGCTGTGGTGTATGATGTGTAACCATAATATAAAAATACCTTACACACAAAGCAAGCATGATTAAAAGTGTTGTGAGTCACCAAATGCAAAGGGGTTGGTGATGGTTAACCAAAATGTCGAGATGGCACCAAACTGCTTATCCATTCCCTTTTATTAGTAAATAAGTCCCAGTAAAGAAAATGTATTTATATTTTAGAAAATATACCTAGCTGTCAAACACTAAGAAAATCAGGAGATCCAAGCAGATTGGGTGTGAAGAATTATTGCAAGCTTAAGCTCTCTACAAGAATCTGAACTACTAACAGCCCAAGCAAATTGGCGGTAGATAAGCGTCACAGATCTCTTGTGGGTGTGAAGGGACTTATGGCTGATGATGCATTTGACCCCTCCCTCACACTCAGCCTGGTCATACCCTATACTAGCATTGTGCAAAACTCCTATACAATAAGGGCATGGAATTATTGTACAATTGCCAGCACTTCTTACTATTACCTGTGCCACCTGGTGGTGCTGGGAGTTGTAGTTCAAAATATTTATAGGTTTCTCACCCTCACTAAATTCAGTGGAACTTATTTCTGAGTATATGATCAGGACTGTGCTCTAAAGGAACACAGATTTCATGACTCCAGCACAATTCTGAACATACAAGAATTCTCTTTATGGCAGTTTTCACCTTAACACACTTCAGTTGTATCTCACTATAGTGACCAAACAAGGGATGAGACACAGTACAGGGAGATGAACACGCAGATGCTTTTGAGCAGATAACTGTATCTAGCTGATGCAAGCAGACTACAGAATATGATGCAAAATTTCGAAACACAATAATTAACAACTATAGAAAGAAGTACCTGAAATTAAAGGCAATATATAAAGAATGAGATTGTAGTTTAGCTCCCATGCTTCCCACGCATGAGAAGCTAATGCTGCCTTTTTTTGTAGAGATTTTTGAGGGACAAGGGCTCTTTGGTGACATTAAAATAAAATCAGGTAAAATGTAAATGAACGTCATATTGCAGTTAAACCCAATTTTTATTTTAGATGAAAGTAAATGGCAGAGGGAGGAGGATGGGGACTTACCAATTAGGGAAAACCAAATTGTGCTACTTTTTTTGACTGCAAGGCCAGTATCCTAGCAACAGCTGTGCCTGCTATTCCCCTTCTAGAGACTTTGCTGACTCACCAGCTGATTCACTCTGACAGCATCTTTATTTGGCTTCTGATTAGCATCGCTGTGTGTGGCTTCTGTGCCTGCCCTAGGCCAACCTATATATAGTTTCTGCTTTTCCCTCCATGATACAGTGAGCTTTACCAGTGATGGTCCTTTCAGAGGATCAACCAAGGATCCCCCCCCCTTTTTTTTTTTTTTTTTTTGCTCTTTGCTAGACATATTCTCTCTTTGGCACACAGAAGCAGTAATTAAGCTGAAGGAAACAAAGAATTCAATCTGTATAGTTAACATCCTGAAAGGAACTCTCAGTTTTTGTACACTTGCCAATAGCTAGAGGCCTGTTCGCCTATCGAGGAACATGTGCAATCTACATGCGCACCAAGAACCCCTGCACATCACAGCAAGCCTCAATGAACTCACAAGATCCTCCTTATGCAAACAAGAGTTGACATTTAAAGCAAGACAATGTGCTTGAAACAGTTCCTTTTCCATTAATGCAGCTTTACATTAGACCAAGCTGTAGACCAGTGGTTCTCAACCTGTGGGTCGGGACCCCATTTGGGGTCAAATGTCCATTTCATGGGGGTCACCAAACTATGCTGTCCGCCATTTTTTTCCCTTTTCCCTAGCTGTCCTACTCCCTCTTATTGGTGGCCACACCCACTTGGGGGTCACCACAACATGGGGAACTGTATTATGGGGTCACGGCATTAGAAAGGTTGAGAATCACTGCTGTAGACCAAAGTGAGATACGGTAGTTTTGATTCACCTCAGTGACTAATTTGCCTCAAGGAGACATTTTGTATTCCTTACTTTCTCTTCTGCCACTTTCAATATCTAGAAAGGGCCTCTCCGCACATGCTCCATGGAAGCCACTTTCAGCTGTTAGGTGTGCTCAAAGCCTCTATGCAGGAAACCACAGAGAAGCAACATATCTGATTTGCTTTTCCTAGGATTGATTGCAGCTGCTTTAAGGAGTTGCAGAGGAATCCTGCATTCACGCCCAAAATACCTTTCTGCCTTCAATCTGATGTGCTTCACAACCCAACAATAATGGTTCTGAGCGAATGGCTTTTAATACAACAACACTGAAAATATGTAAAAATCATGAAGTCATTCAATGGGAATAAATGAGACTGAAAAAAGTGACTGCAACTTATGTTTTAAAAACTTACCAAAGTAGAAAATCAAACAGAGAAGGCCAAACCACCAATGTCTAAGAGAAGATCAAACATGCAAAGACAAAAAACCCCAGAAGACAGATTAATAACTGATTTATAAGATCATCAATGAAAGTGGCATATCAATTATTAACCAATAACTCTTATTTAAAGAATAAAATAAAATGGTGAATTGGACATGATGAAATAATGGTTAATAAGCTCAGAAGCAAACAAATGAATTTCAATTACCTATTAAAGTTACTAGACAGATTCCTAAGGAAAATTAAACATAGGAGTAAATGTAGACCATTGTTAGAAAAGGATAATTACAGCATTCAACGTTAAAACTAGTGTCCTAGTTTTAATTTGCACTCTTTTTATTGATGTTTATATCTTTGCTTGTGTCTTTTGAGTGTTTCCTACACTGTTTCCAACTATGTTTCATTATTTTGCAACATTGCTTTTATTGATTTTAGGCTATTCACATATAACGTCGAAGATTTAAGGAAAGAGAGCATATATAACAGATAAAATACTTTCCTGTGACCTCTGATTTAAGATATGGATTATCTATCTAGACAATACTTAGCTATTTGGACAGAAAATATATGGAACCATGTCCTCAGTCTTGCTAAATCAGATGGTTACTACCAAGCTCTGTAGACTAAATCTGCACAGTGAAATCAAGCATTAGAATGGGTTTGCCTCAAGAAAGAATCTCAAGATTTTGTTTACCCCCTTCTACTTATTTTAAGAAGCGAAGAGGGAAAGGCAGATGGTATCTCATCACCAAGTGATTTTCAAACTAAAATGTTGCAACTAGGACAAATACCAGGATAGCTTTCCTACTTGTGACATCAGCCTGATTTTCTTTCTCTTTTTCAGCTGAGGGAATGGCAGAGAAACCTGTCATAAAACATAAAACTTGACTTATGAAATCCTGCATAATAACGTTGGTTCTTATGATACTTGTAGTAATTTACATTTTGATGGGGTTGAGAAAAATAAGGGAAGCAGGAAGAGGAATTTTTCAGAGCATGGAAGGTTGAGGAAGAAGCAGTTGGGAAAGGAAGGTGTTTGGTGCAGAACTAGCACAGAGAACATTTTAGGTTCTTAAATGAGGAATATAAGAGATTTTCCATGGTGAAAATATAAAGGGAAGAGCAAAACAAGTTAGAAAATCATGCCATTAACAATACGTAATGTAGTACTGACTAGGACTGTGCTTACTGTGTAATAGCTTTGGGGGAAAATATACATATGTTCTGAGCTTCTCTGCTATGCCTTTCCCTCCCCCACCTCCATTTTGCTATTGTGGAAATCTAATTCATGTTTTTATTTTTATGCCTTAGAAAAAGATTATACATTCTGTTAGCTGACATATTAAGAGGCAGGTAGCTCAGTGCTGTGATCCTGGAGTGGAGACAAAGAACTAAACAGCTGTCCTTCCTTCAGTGTGTGAATTGGATGGTGTTTATTGTACATGCTGGTAGTATCTAAAAGGTTAGAATCCTATTTGCGTAAAAGGTAATTTGGAGGTTTTTCTGATAGTCAAAAGCATTCCTGTGTAAGAATATTGTATTTGTAATATTCTTTTTATGTTTCCTTCCTTAAAGTAACAAACCAAATTCTTATCAGTTGTAGTCTTGATCTGTTTGGGACTCTTTTGCAATTTGAACATTCCAATAAAAAAGTATACTTTATTGCATCAATCTCCAATAGCTTCAATACACTAATAGTCTCCCAATTCCAGTGGACAGAACATCAAATAAATAAAATTCTATCAGACTGGTTTATGTACCAATTCTTAAAAAATACTCCCCATCCTTAAGCTTATCTTCTAAAAACATATACATAAAACATAAAAACAAAGATTTTATCAATTAGAGAAAGGATTCAAGAAAATTAGTACAACACTGCAAAAAGAAAAGATCTAACACAAATTCTTGGCTTTACTGATTGCCTATTTTTTCAAATTTTCAAAGTACCAAAGCATATGTACCACTGCTTCACTCTTCCTGGATTTCCTTCTTCCTGGGGATTTTCCAGTACATTAGTTCTCCTAGGTCAGTGTTTCTCAACCTTGACAATTTTAAGGCATGTGGACTTCAACTCCCAGAATTCCACAGCCAGCATTGCTGGCTGTGGAATTCTGGGAGTTGAAGTCCACATGCCTTAAAATTGTCAAGGTTGAGAAACACTGTCCTAGGTAGAATGATGTTATTGTTTTTCCCAGACCTGGTTCTCCTTTCCTGGAGTTCTCCTTTTCATTTTAAAAAAAATCAATAGTTTTTGATATGTAATAGAGGGCAAAATACCTCCCTTTGTTTATTTGAAAGAGAGTCCTCTCCCCTTCATGAGAATGTATATTCTGATTGAGATGAATGGATTCTCTCTGAACCTGGTTTCTGCCTATGTCGAAGCTTCATCCACAAGAGGGGAAGTAA